TTAACAAACCCCAGCCAAAAAAAGGAAAAAAGCTTAAAAAAAAAAAATCTAAAAATTAAAAAAAAAAAAAAAAAAAAAAAAACAGTTACATTACTCAATATGATGAACTCATCAAGAATAATGTTTATTCACCTAAATTCACAATTAATTTTGTTACGAGAGACGAATATTACAACACAAAATCAGAGAACAAAAGCAGCAGCCAAAAAGATAATAGTTCAACTTTATGCAAATTTCGTTTTAAAAAACAAAAGGAAAAACATGAGAGTCATCCCCAGCGTGCCAAGTGTACGGGTATCCAGGCTTGTCATGTGAGGACAAATAGATAAGTCAATTTCAAAACATGTAAATATGCTCTAGTTTATCTGTTAGATTTGGTTGGGTCTGCCGGCGAAAGATGTCAAAGTTAGATCACGTGGGTATGGCTCCAATGGAGTTTACAGTAAAGTACCACTTTTGGGATTCTTGGAACGCTAGTTTTGGCTGTTAACTGCGTGCGTGCGTGCGTGTGTATATATGTGTATATATGTATATATATGTATATATATTTTGGAAATAAGCCTGCGTGTATATTAATAATCTTGACAAATATTGATATGCTTGTTATTTATTTATTTTTTGCTCACATATATGGATTTGATTATTATGTGTTTATATTTAAGTATACATTATTCACACCAAAAAACAAAAAAAACAAAACAAAAACAAAAACAAAAGAAAAGAAAAGCGGTCCCGTTCATTTCACAGATTTGAGTTTAAAATTTGAGTTTTACTATAGTAAAAAGATCTCAGAAATAATTATATCTAATTTTTTTATTACAATAAAAAAACTCTCATATAAACTCATATCTTAACTCGAATTAAAAATTTAAATTAACGAATTAAACGGGTTACGCACAACACTGTAGCCACCTCCTGCAGGCGCGCGCCTCCCCTGTCGATCTTGTCCATATCTGACCCTCCCTACGCTCTTAGGTCTAGGTTTATCTGATATCTATTTTCTTGATATATGAAGGAAGTACATGATGGAAACAATATTTAAATGATTTGGGTTTGTTTGGTTCAAATTGTTAATTAGTTTGAGCTGTGGTGGTTTAAATTATGGTATATTGAATTGTGATTTAAACTGGTGTTTAGATATATAAATAAATTATAACTTGAATTGTAAATAAAATTTAAACTGTGTTTAGATAAAATGTTTAAAACTGTCATTAGAGTTTTGCAACAAATCTTATAAAATCTCATTATAAATGATATTAAAAAATATGTAATATAGACGAGGATTTGTTTCTCTCTTCATTATGAACACATAAAAAAAATCATCTCAATCGGAATTATAAAATCTCATTGTAAATGATATCCAAAAATGTTTATCTTTTCATTATGAACACATTAAAAAAAATCATCTCAATCATAATTAAACGAAAAAGTTAGAATTTAAAAGGGAATGTAAATTCTAATATCTAAAGGGTTTGAATCATTATTATTGGTTTGAATTGTTTTTAAATTGTCCTCTATCAAACATCAATTTGAATCATGAACTACAGTTTTAAAACAAAAGGGCTTAATGAGATCCAAAATATATGGCAAATATATATAGATACGTAGTCTTTATAAGTCCGGCATCTCTACACTTCGAGAAATGTGATTTTTTTATCCTATGATTACATGTGTGTGTAATATCTGGTTTGTTCAAGTGTAATACATAATAGTACACGTGTTAGATTACATTTTTTGAATGTCACAATTAGGGCACCAAACCCATTTACATCCCTACGGGCTACTGATTAACGCTGGTATTGTAGGGGTGTATAAATTGTTGACTTTCTTATTTTAATTGTCAGAAAATTAAGAGAGAAAAAAAGAAGAAATAACCCTTTTAATCCGTGTTTAAGGCTAATTAGTTGCTTAATCGACTATAACAACTCACATGTAAAACACCACATCATCAAATGTGACTTTGATATGCATTAAAAAAAAGAGGCATTCGTAAAAATAACTCTTTGAAAAGTTTTATTAGTAAAATAATTTCTCAAAAACTTTTATTTGTAAAATGACATATTTTTACAAAGAATGAGTAAATGTCTTTCTTCATAAAAAATAGAAGAAGGTCATTTTGCTAATTTTACTTTGTTGGATAGTCATTTTAGCATATTACCCTTAAAAAATTATAATTTGAACAGTAACATGTAACCATGGGTAGAAACATAGGGCCTGTTCTTTTATCTAAAAAATTCAAAAAAATATAACTCGAGTTCCAACTTTATTCAAGTTCATATTCTTTTAAGTTCCAATTTTATTTAATTTTACTCAACTTTATTCAAGTACCCATAAGCTTTTAAAAGTCGTTTATATATGTACTGTTGGCAATTTTAAATGGGGATAAAGAGTGTAATTACGGGGGTTTAAACTCAGAACCTCCCGTTCTAATATTATGTTAATTTACCACTTCATCCCAAAAACTTAAGTTATTAAGACATGGGTGAACAATAATTTTATACTTTAACATGTATATTATATATTTGTAGATATGTATAAAAGCACTGCTAGTACTCTATTATTTTGAATCAAGTCTGTATTAAATTTATTACGGCCCCGTTCACTTCGCTGATTCGAGTTTAGAATTTGAGTTTTTCTACAGTAAAAAGCTCTCACAAACAATCACATCTAACTTTTTTACTACAGTAAAAAGCTCTCACATAAAGTCACATCTCAACTCAAATTCTAAACTCGAATCAACGAAGTGAACGAAGCCGATTATCTTGATGTAAATTGAGGTTCAGAAACACGTCAGCGTACAAGATTTCCACCAGCTAAAGTTCCCAAATTTATAAAACCTAGATATATTTTTTACTTCGTCTCCTTTCTAGCATCAGCATGCATAAAACCTATATATTGGGAATCGGAACGAAGTATTGATTCCATTATTATATTTTAACTTATTAGATTTGTTCATTTAGAACTTAAAAGTAATCATAAGATCAATTCCTTGGTGTGTATTTCTGTGATGTCCCTTCTGTGCCCTTTTCTTCTTTTTCTCAATAGTAAATTTAGTATGTAATTTAATTTTTTGGAAGGGACTGACAACGAGAATCCAAATTTCATAAAGTAGGATCACCTTTCTTAAATCTTTTTAGACCTTTTGAATTAGTGGGTTCAAGCTAGAGTTGATAATATAAGTCACGATACGAAAATACGATTCGAAAATGACACGAATTTTACGGGTTAAAGTTGAGAAAAAAGAAGTTCAGGTCAGAATTAAGTCGATCTGAAATTGACACGAAAAATATGGGTCAATTTTGAGTTATACTCACCTAACCCGAATACGACACGAAACCCGTAAAAAACTATAAAATACTTATATTTTTCATTACATATTTTTTATTTTATTAGAAACTTGTGATATTATGATATCTTTACTTGAAATCTTATACTATTATTCGCTTAATTTTAATGGATGTTATTGTATTTTAGTGTGTTATGAATTTTAAGTTATTTCTAATATGTAAAAAACTAAATAAAAATATACAATTCTCGTATCAATTTCGGGTTCACATGCTAATTTTGTGTCACGAGTTATTTTCGTGTTGTGTCAATTTATATTGTAATCTTGTCGTGTTCGTGTTGCGATCGTGTTCAAATTAATTGTAAATTTTAAAAAAATAATTAAAATATGACACATAATATGAATTGACACCTTAATTCAACCCCTTTTATTGTTATATTCAAGATGTTCACCTTTAAAAAGTGGTTTTGGAAAACCTTTTTCTGATGTTCAGTACAAAAATCTCATCATTATCCGCTCGCATTTATTCCAAAAAAATGACTTTTTTCGTTTGGTATCTAGATTCGTTTCCTGATTTGAATCTTAGTTCGTAGTTCGCTACAGTATTTTCTCTCATAAAAAATACACGTAAATTAAAAATAGTTCTAATCATATGATTTGAATCCATGAACCAAACTCCAAAGATCATGATCCAATCTGCAGGCTAATTATCATTTTAGTACAATTGAGATCTCGTTCATTTTATTGATTCGAATTTAGATTTTGAGTTTTATTAAAATAAAAAGCTCTAAGAAATAATCATATATATTTTTTTTGTTACAGTAAAAAACTCTCACATAAAGTCACATATCAACTCAAATTAAAAACTCAAATCAGTGAATTAAACGATTCTGAGTTTTTTTTTTAGACATTGAGGACATTTTATTTACAACCTGATAACCGAGACTCGATATCACTTTGAAAGTTATTCATTCTTACCGCATGATTTAAATCTATGAACTAAATACCACATTAATTTTGTTCGTATTATAAATATTATATTCAAATGTCAATTCTCTAAAAGTGGTATTCCTTCAATTCACCCACAGCTTTGGTTGACAATACAAGTTACAATAGGATGACATGACATCAACAGAACACGATTTTTTACGGATTTATATTGAAAAAATAAACCACGCATCATGTTAGTGTTGACTTATAATTAATCGGTAAAAAACGAGTTGTGTTTGTGTCAATATGGTGACACTAAATTAACCCACTCAGTTATTATGGGGTTATTCTTTTAAAGTGTAATTTAAGTGTAATTTGAATGTAGTTTTTAAATTAAATTTAAGTTATAATTTGAGTTAAAGTTGTAACTTAAATAAAGTTAAGTAAAATTAAAATTTAAAAGAACGTGAACTTAAATAAAGTTATAACTTGAGTTTAAATTTTTTCCTGAGTTTTATTGTAAAAGAACAAGCCCTATATTATTATTAAAATATTTTTCCCTACTTTTGTTTAGATGTGTTTTAAATTTTTTAGACTTAATTAGATGTTGTGGTATGAAACGGTCTTAATTTTAAGAACTTATGCATTTTATGTTCTTTTTATATGATTTTAGTGCATAAAATGTAAATTTAAAGTAAAATTGATTTCGGGTTGAGTGTAATGAGTCCGTATGAGTCGTGTTAATGTCGACCTGTATTAAGATTATGGTTGGGATTTTTCACCCATTCGTGTTGCAAGTCGTGTTAGGGATGTGGTAGTTCCAGAAAATATTGACTCTTAACCTGACAATATCCTGACATGTAGATACGAATTGTCAACGACTAAAGAAATTGTCCAACCAGGAGACCCTCTCTAAATATAAATGTCAGCTTTGAAAAAAAAAATAAAAAATAAAAATAAAAACTTGCAAAATATTTCACATCCCAAGTTTCATTACAACAATGAGGTACCATCAGTTTTTAACCTGATTACAGTCTGCCATATAATAGCATCAAACTCCAAAAGGCAGTAAATTTTATTACACAGCAGCTTGTAATTGGTGTCAAAAATTTCTAGGGCTTAAACACCACAAGTGGATTTGTTTATTCTGTCCAGAAAACATCATCCACGTTATCATTTCTATCACCCAAAAAGCTTTTGCTTTCTTCATCTTCTTCACGGTTTGTGTCTCCTAATGCACTCATTTCCAAACCAGTTAGTTTTCTGGCCTTCAAAGCCTCAGCCTCCCAATCCGTACGGCAAAGCACAACATAAAGAATAGACACGACACAAGCTAGCTGAGCAGACATGAGGCCAAACCACAGCCCAGCGAACCCAACCTTGAGCCCAAATGCAAGCCCAACCGCAACAGGAGTGCCCACAAAGTAGAACGAGCCCAAGTTGACCCGGGCGCCCACGACGGGCCTAGCCGTGCCCCGGAGGATGCCGCAGCCCGTCGTTTGCGGGCAGTTTCCGAGCTCGCACAGGCCCATGATTGGCATAACCGATGCGACCAAGGCCTTGACGAGCTCGTCCTTCGTGAAAAGCCCGGCCCATCTTTCTCTCAGTATAACCGTCCACGTCACGTTGATGAAGCCAATCACGAAAGCGCATCCTAAGGCAACCATGGCTGCAAGCTTGGCTTTGTAGGGCTTGCCAGCTCCAAGCTCATTCCCAACCTGCATAAGAGCTGTTAATAGGTTCGAGAAAACACTGCAAGAAAACGGTTTGAATTATTATTATATCTATAAAATAATTAGGATTTTGATGTTGACAAAATAAAAAAATTATACCCCCTAATTCGCCTCTATCGTGTTGTGCCACTCTTTAAATTCTATCATTTTAAATTTTTTTTTTTTTTTTAAAAAAGTGGGATATAAATCTCATCTCTTATCTTACAGTGCTCAAAAAAAGGGGAAAAAAATCTCTCTGCTCACACACTAACAAAGGAGCATTCCTATGTTTTGGCCTCACAACAATCTCACGTGTTTCGGCCTTCAACGTTTTTAAAAGCCACACTTGTTATAATGCAAAGATAAATTATATGAATATGTTCAGTGTATGACAAAACGTAGGACAAATAAAATCTTGGAATTTTGGAGAACCCCATTCCATGAATTAGAATATTAGTAGGGAAACTCCGGTCTGGTATTTCTGTTTTGCATAAAACAAATTGCCTCGCACACTCACGGAATTGGTGCTTTTTTTTTTTTTTTTTTTTTTTAGCAACAAAGTGGAGCTCTAGAGTGCTTGTTTCTCGTGCCCTTTTTTTTTTTTTTTTTGTTTTTTTGTTTTTGACGGAGATTACTCCATTTCATGTGTGTCTTTTATTGTATAGTGCATAAATGTCACATCAAAATATTAAAAAAAGGTACAAGTTTGGTACGAGTATCTATTGTGTGTGAAATCCATTAAAATCCAATATAACAATGGTACAGGCACTAGCAAATATTGTAAACTTTGAAGTTTGTCCATCATATTCATAAAAAGCTTCCAAAAAAATATAAATAAAAGAGAATGTCACTAGTGTACGAGTACCAAACATGAAGTCTTCAGCTCAACCTCGCTATTAACTAGAAAGAGCACTTCTAATTCATATATTAGTTGCATTCAGTATTTAATGATTGATTTTTTTGTTGATAACTTGTGTCTAAATCCTCTTTTTTTCTTTCTTTTTTTGACAATTATGCACCATGGTTTAAAAAAAAAAAAAAACTCACAGCTAAGACAAGTTTTAAATCCGATTTATATCATATAAAAATAAAACTTGATGTTATATGATATCATATTATGAATTTATGTTACATTTGGTTTGCGTTTTAAACAATTCAAACATTATATTTTTACTTATAAAGATTCAATTTTTTTTTTTACAGTATTTTCACTCGTAAAACTTTAATTAAACAGAACCAATCAGTCAATTATTGTTTTTTTTTTCTCCTTGTCTACTAGAAAACTTTTTTAATATTTTTGTTTCTAAATTGAAGAATTAAAGAATGAAAGAATATTGAAAAAAGAAAAAAAAAGTGGGAAAGTCAGATAGATAGATAGAGAGAGGGAGAGAGAGAGAGAGAGAGAGAGAGAGAGGGGACAGGAGGGAGAGAGAGAGAGAGAGACTGACCCTGGTAGAGACACAGCAAGAAAGAGCCAAGGGGACAGTATACATCATGCTAGTGGTCTGAATAAGAATCCCAGTTGCAGCCACGGCCAGTGTTGGATTCGGCAAGTACCCTGACATCACTATCACTATCTCATACCACCACCACTCCAAACATATCCCCAAACAGCTCGGCACCGCCAACTTCAGCAACTCCACCATTCCCACTCCCACTCCCACTCCCATTCCGCCACCACCACCACCACCGCCGCCGCCACCAAATACCACCTCCTCAATTCCCTTCCACCTCACCCCCGCCCCGGCACCGGCCTCTCCCTTGTTCTTCCACCACCAGTAATACCCCGCCATCATCCCCGCCATGCTAACGTTGGTCGCCACAGACGCCGCCGCCACGCCCGCCACCCCGAGCCCCATCACCGGCACCAGCAGCACGTTCAGCGGCACGTGCAGCGCCACCGCCGCCAGCGTGCAGAACATCATCGGCCGCGCCGCCTGCTGCGAGCGGAGGAACACCCGCAGAGGCTGCAGCAGGGTGTTGGTGAGGAGGTCCGGGAGGGAGTAGAGGCAGTAGGTGGCGGCCATGGCAGTGATTTCCCTGTCCTGGCCCATGGCCACCATGATCCTCTCCAGGTTGAGCCAGAGCAGGGCGATGGGGAGGGACGCGGTGAGGAGGATTAGGACCATGCGTTGGAAAGAGAGGATTAGGAGGTCGTGGTTCTTGCTGCCGTGGGCTTGGCTGCAGACGGACTCGAGGCCCGAAGCCAGGCCCATCATTACGGAGTAGCCCGTGATGTTTGTGAAACCCAACGAGAGGGCGCCGCCGGCGAGTTCCAGGCTACCCAGACGGCCCAGGAAGAGGATTGACACGGCGGCTCTGAAGAATACTAGTAAGTTCATGCCGGTTGTTGGTAAGGCTAAGCCCCAGAGGTCTCCAAGTTCTTCTATAATCTGTTGGAAAAAAAAAAAAAAAAAACAGAGGAAATGAGAAAGAAAGAGAAAGTTGACAACACTATTTTTTTTTTGTGTGGGTTTTGTTTTGGGTTTTAGTACCTGAGAAATAGAGGGGAATTTGCTGAAAGAGATATCTGGGTCTTTCTCTTCCATGGTTGTTGTTGCTACAGGAAATCTGTGAAAAGGCAAAGTTCGATCAAACAGTAGAAAAGGGAAAAGAAAAAATGAAACCCAAATGTTATTTTTGCAAGAAACATAGCTTTTTACCTTAAGAAGAGAGTAATGGGTATGCGGAAAATGAAGAAAAAGACGCAATAGAATGAAGAGAAAGAAGAGGAAGAGAAGAAATGGTAAAACTAAAAGAAGTTGGAAGTTGGGGAAGTGAAAGTGTATTGGGGTGGAGAGTGAAAGTGAAAGGACTGGCTAATGGCGGCTACAGCAAAAACCATGGTGTTGGCAGAGGAGAGGAAACGACATGGGAAAGGAAAGGGGCGGTTTTTAAGAGTGGGGAAAGCGATGGCCAGATAAAGAAATAAGAGAGAGAGAGAGAAACAGAGGAGTCCTTCATCGAATAGAAAAGAGGAAGGGTTTCATAAGGCTTCTCATTATTGCTGTTGTTGCTGTTTGTTTGACAGGGAGAGAGAAGTGAAGTGGGCAGAGAGAGAGAGAGACGGACAAAAAACAGAGAGAGAGAGAGAGAGAGAGAGAGAGAGAGGGAGAGAGTGAAGTGAAGGGTCCGTTTCTTTAAGTTTTATTATGCCTTGGATTGTGGATTTTTCCTGATGCAATGGAAGTATTTGAGTGCTTTTTCTGCACTCTGGTACCATGATATATGGAAAAATGTAAAGAGCACCAGAAAATTGTGCTTAGCATTACGGCCGTTTTATTTTTAAATTTTTTTTTCCTCTCTTTTTTTTACGTGGGAGGTTCTATGTGGTGTCCTCACCCTTATTACATGGAATTAAATACCATTTTTTTTTTTCCTACACGTGTCGTTTTACTTTTTTCAAATAAACCAACTTAATAATAGGCTATTTTTTATATTTTTTAATATCTTATCCCATTCTATATATCTAAGGATACATAAAAAAAACTAAGCGCGGTTTTAAAATTTATTTTAAAATAATTTTATTTTTATATGAAAATAAAAATAAAAACGTTTTTAATTTCAGACACAAATTATTTTTAAAAATGTATTTAGTAGTTTTATTAAGAAATTATTTTCAGTGTAAAAGAACTTATTAATGTCTTTCTTTCTTTCTCTACTCGAGAAAGGAGAAAATGAAAACAAAAAAATGAAAAAATGACTAAAAGTTATTTTCATTTATGTTTTTTATCTTTATTACGCCAAACGTTATTTTAAAAATATTTTTATTTTTTTCTCAAAAAACATAAAAAAAAGGGATCAATTCTAAACACGGCCTAAAATTCTTTTTTATGAGATTGTTACGTAACAGTCCCTTCATATCTCTTTTTTTTTTTCTTTTTTTTTCTTTTTTTTTTTGAATTCTTTTTACATTTTACATTTTGTGTGTTTTAAAAATATATTGTTCCTCACTTTACTTTCATAGAGTAATTTTTTCATATGTCTTCCTATTTTATTTTTAGTTAGTTAAAATAATTTTCTTCAAATGTGTCTCTGCTTAATTTTTTTTTTTTGTAAATTGTTATCTACATATTTAAAAATTCTTAAATAGTTGTATAAATGAATTTATCATTATTCGGTAAACAATAAAATTTTTAAGTGTCTTCAACACGACAATCCGTGCAGAGCATGTTATAAAACTAGTATTTATAAAAAACCAGATCCATCCTCTATTGTTTCTTTTTCTACATCCAAAACAACTGGTTTTAGTTATTTAATTTTTGTTTTTTTTTCGTATTTTTTTGAACTTTTAAAATCGAATAGAAAATGATATATGTATTACGAATAACATAAATTATGAGCCATTTACACAATGGTGAATCATATAGATAGACGATTTAGAGTTGTAAGTTTAGACCGGACTAAAGGGGTCGGCCTGAGACTGAGTATTGTTGACTAGATCTCGACTCGCTTAAGTGTTCGGACTGGGTTAAGCCGACCCTATGTTTCAAACCTGAAATCTTATTCGGGCCGGCCACTTTTTTTTTTTTTTGAAATTATTTTCTTAGAATATCTTGTAAATTTCAAGCGGGGCCGGGGCCAACCCTCCTCTTATTAGGGTTGGCTTGGCCCGGGCCGATTAGATGAAAAATATGGGCCGGCCCAGTCTGAAATTCTCATTTGGGTCTGACGGGCCGCCCGAACTTTCACTTCTAAGACGACTTATATAGTCCAACCCCATCCATTTATTGTTTCCCTTTATCTTTCTTTTTGGATCGTTCAAATTGACCTAGTATATATATATATATATATATGTATATTTTGTCTGTGGGTAAAGCAGTTTGTTTTTCATTGAAGCTGTAAATGTACCTGGTAAAGCATCCTTAGTATCTCGTCGGTTTGCTTATTAGTACCTCATTTTTTTGACAGTTAATATTTCGGCTTCAAAAATGCATGACCTTTATGTATGAATTCAGAGTAAGATGATTTTTTCTTCAATGATTGTGTTCATAATGCATAACTAGTGGTGCGATCTCCAGACCAGGCGATGAACTAACAAAGGTTAAAGGATCGTGAGTGGATCTACTATTAGAATTTGTACGGTTCTTAAAAAAATGATGCTAATTTATTTGTTTTTTTTTAAGTGATTTTAACTTAATAAATCTGGATATACCTAGATTTACCATGCACAACGACAATGAGAGATAGGGGAAGAGATAGTGGCGTAGGCGGACAATGACGGTGAGAGTGGGGAAGGCGGACAACAATGGTGAGAGAATGACCAACAATGACAACGAGAGAGAGGGACAAGAGATAGTAGGGTTTATGAGGGAGGAGAGGACAAGTAGGAGAAAGAGAAAGAGAGAGAGAGAGGCACACGATAGTAGTGTTGCTCAAAAGGTAGAGAAATCTCATTTAAGTTTATTTTTAGAATTTCAGATGGTTGTAAATCTGAATTTACATTATATTAGCCTATTTATTAACTCCTCTTGAACATTAGTCAATTAATTTAATTCCTCTCAAATCTTAACCTATTTCTCTCATTTTCTCTTTCTTTTTTTGGGTAGAATCCGTTATGTTAATCGGCCTAAATTATTTGAAATTTTATTTTATCTAAAAAAGGTCTAATTAAACCAAATTAAAAACATAAGGGACAAGTGAATTCCTTTTAGTAAAAAGGCACGGTATTTAATTATTTTCCTAATCTTTTCTTTCAACATCTACTTTTATAGAAAACCAACCATTGAATTTGTTTTTTGAAAGTAAAAGTAAAAGTAAAACTAAAGCTAGGAGATTAGGACCCCAATATTAGTGTTTGATAGCTGTGAAAATTCGATACTTGATTCGGTTAAAGCGCTTTTGAAAGAGCTTCCCCTTTACCCACAAAATTTTCATTCCTAAAGTGCGTGGTATATTTCTTTAGATTGTGTAATTAAGCTCTGTTTATGTGTTGTAAGTATTTTTCCATTTCATTTAAAATTTTAGGGGAAAGTTCTCCATTAGAAGCAAAGAAGAGGAAACATTATAAAAAGGTTGTATTATGGAGATTCTATATGTCTTACTGTTTCGATTAACATGTTAGAAAGGCTTTAACTTGTCTCAAAAAGCTTTTAATTAAAACTTTATGGGTTTGCCCGGAAAACTATTTACATTTACTTTACGGAAGTTTATCTAGTAGGACTAAAAAAAATGAACTACTAATAATTTCGTATTTTCAACCGTCAAATTTTATATCAAAAATTATTTATTTTATATTTTTTTAATCTAATATAATTTTAATTAAATCAAACGGTCATAAATTAATTCTATCTTATTGAAAAAAATCCATACTTTTACATAGTAAAAGAATAAAAATAAAAAAGTAATGTTATATATCCCGTCGAGATTTCTCTCCATCAGACAGATAATGAGGGCCCACTTAATGGGCCTCATATGAGACACATTCTTTGTGTCTATAAGGAGATATCCCCGGGCATTAAGCATTTTCTAAAATAAAATCTCTATTTTTTAAGGTACAGTTTAGAATTAAAAAAAAGTTAAAACAACATTTTGAGACATAGATTCGATTTCTTTTAATCGTCCATGGGTACTAAAAAAAGTAAAATAGATATTAGAAATATTTTTCCAAATAAATTAACTTCCCAGTTCAAGCTCTTTTAAAAAAAAAAAAAAAAAAAAAATTATGGGAGGGGAATAGTAATAATTTTTAACAATCTAAGCTCTTATCATTCAAATAACTAATCCAAAAGCTATTTTTAATCTTCTATCTTCTCAGGTTTACAACTACATATTTTCTAGAGTAATTTAAAACTCCATTTGTTCTCATGTTTTTAATATTTTCATCACGTACCTTATAACATATATATCGAATATGTGATCTCAAGTGATACATCTACTATTAGATACTGTGCACCCATTTAGTTATTTATTCTACGACATATATTACCATAATTAAAGCGTTATTTTCTTAACATGTATTTTTTTATTTTATTTCAACTACAACTATTCGACTTATAATACAACTTTTCAAAAGGGTCGTTGCATTCATTTTTTTTAATATGCAACGCGTGGATTTCACTAAATAAATTTTTATATATGTATATATATTCTTTGAAAAATAAAAGTTATGGGTTAGTTAGGTAAAGAATAAAAGCCTGTGGTAAACTAATATATAATCCAGAATTTAGGGTATCTTAAAGAAATCAAATTACAAATTATTGTACTAAAAGCACCACAAATGACAAACTCATCTCGTTGTCAGAGTTTAAAGTTGAAGCTAAAATATTGTTGTAAAGCTTAAAAATAAGAACGGGAATGAGCAGTACAGCTTTCTATTGGATCGACAAATGATACATATGTTTTGCTTTATTAAATTTATAATAAGAAAACATATTGTTTTACCGCCTTCCCAACTCGGCATCCTTTTGCCTTTCAATTAATTTCAAAAATTTCTCATGAATTATGATCATTTTAACACTGTTTTTTAAATTTTAAAAAGTAACATCCGTTTTTTTTATCTTTATTCCGTTAACAAATTTTCTCTTTCTGTTACAATAAGTGACGAAATTATCACGTGTCGTTTATTTAGTAAGAATTAAAAGCGTAATTACGTTTATACCGTCATAATAAGATAATTCCTCATTTTTATTGAAAAAATTCCTCATCTTCCTCTTCCTTGAACAACGCTGCCGCCAAGCTCACGCTAGAGATGCTCGGTTTCAGTCTTGGAAGCAACAACATAAGTTCCTT